TTCATTTGATACGTTAATGATTATTCAGTTAGCAATGAGTATGTATGTGTGTATGTAACTTTCGCGTGATAGTCCTTAAATTGCACCACCTCTCGCCGCAGAGCATGGACTATTGATTAGTTATTATTATTATTATTATTATTATTATTATTATACAAATAACAAAATTGTTGATCATTATTGTCCCATCAAAGAGGTACTTTTTTGTAATTTTTTCCATCTAACATGAGATCCTTTGTAATCAACCATCACTTTAATAATTGTTATTATTATTATTATTAAGAATGGTTCTAACCACAACAAATGCATTAACTAATTGGACTTTGTTTGAACTAGAAGCATCATGAATATAACGTTAGAGGATAACATTTGATTAACATAAAAACTATCATGTTCGGTATCTGCCAAGGAATTATAATTTATCTAATCAAATAAACATATGTGAATTTGTAATTAGTTCAACAATACAATGACTATTTTTTCACGATCTCAATTGACTGTATTACTATGTTTAAATATGGATATGGTGAAGCACCATAACTTATTGTGCTTACCAACAGGGGTAATTGCTCCCTGTTTAAGCCTACTTTCGGTTGTTTGGTGGTTTTGCTTGTTACTTGATTCTCTAAACTGGAATGCTACAATTTACAGGTTTTGCAGCAATCTATGAAAGACCAAATTACTTGGGTTCACTATCAGTTGCTGGATGGTCATGTTTCTTATCAATAGAATGTTTTGTAACGCCGAAACACGCACTTCGCCCTAAAAAGCACTTTTAGTATGACCAATGTAAATCCCCGCCGCGAAACGTGGGCTTCCGTGCTAATAACAATCAAGGCCAATACTATGGTGCCGCACTAAAAAGTGCGGCACAGGTGACGCCGTTTCTGATTGGGCCACATGGCGCTGACGTGGCCTGACTGGTTTATTTAATTTGAGCCCAAAACCGGTTTATTTAATTTGAGCCCAAAACCTACTGACCTATTGGAATTGGCTGGAATCGAAGCCGTACCAAACGGACGGATTCTTTCCGTTATTTTTTTCCGGAGCGTTTTCGCATATTATTTTGTTTAGTTTTAATTTTTTTTTCTCCAGAAACCAAGGAAACGCAACAAAGGGAAAGTCGAGCAGTCGATCTCCTTCTCTCGGTCGAAACTACTCCGGCGAGAAACAAAGCAGCTCCGGCGAACTCCACCCACTCCGATCGGAACTCCATCTCCTCCAATAAACTCCTTTACCGTATTCCTCCTCCGGCATTCATTCTGTGAAACAAAAATTGACGAATCCCTAGTACAGGGACGCCCTCTGTCTGCATCGAACTGCTCTGCCGACACCGACAATCCCTCGTGCGCGTAAGGGAAGAGTTCCTCACTCTGCCCTGTCCCCTCGGTATGCACCCTCCTGTTGGAATCTTCGAAACATGAGTGTCTAGTGACTTTGCCTAACGAATCCGAACGCTCCTGGTTATTCGATTCATTTGTGTTTTGGGGTACTAGAACAATGATTCGATTCGTTTTGTTGCCGAATTTGGCTAAGTTTCATTTTGCCTCTGAACTGTAATGTCATGGATTCTGCAATGGAGCCTTGTTTTGCAATATTTTTCGCTTTCCTTGTGTTAACCGGGCAGCAGGGAATTGGTTGATGTGTCCCTGTTCTGCTTATGTGCTGTTCTTTCCTCCTTTATCTTCTGTTGGCTAACAACTTCTCAGTTTTGCCTGTATGCTATTCCCCTTTCTGGTTGGTGTTTTTCACATTCTGATTCCAGTAGCTGATAATGTTGTTTGGTTTGGTTTTGGTAATTGGTCTTTCAATCTTCTTTAGTGAAATTGCAGCAAGTCATTTATCCATAAGAACATAATTTCGAGGCTTGTTTGAACAGAAAAGCACTAGATTATTGTATCTTATTTTCCTACATAATTCAAAACCCAATATATCCTAGTTTATAGATCTCTATCATTGTTTTTATGAGAATGTACCCTAAGAAAGGAGTTCAGATTGTTAGCTTAGTATTAGTGATTAATGTGATCCATTTTGTATCATCTTGTATCATTCGATACAGAACCATTTAGTGGGTTTGAAAGTTACAAGCAATGCTGTCAAGTTGGTGCTGATAGGTGAGAATAACCTCAAAAGTCCACAACTTTCAGTTCATTGACCAAGTTTGGAGAGAGCTGCTTCATATTCCAAAGAATCAGAAGTCAGCCTAGGATGATGATGGTGATGATAAACAGCCAGTAAAGCTTTTACTTGCAGGATCGCGGTTAAGTCCATGCCTCTTCAGTGTCCTGATGTAGTCTTTGCTGAGAGAGAACTTAGTGCTCCCAAGGTGAGAGAAAGAGGCCCATTTATAGGTTCCAGTCTTGTGCAGATCTTCAAACACTATTATGAAAATACCAGTATTCAACGACATTAGTTATGGTAAGTGCAAGTGAAAAGAATCAGTAGTGTCATCAGTCATGTAAGCTTAAAAAAAATATCTACATAGTCTTAGGTTTATTCACTAGTTAGACCCTTTCACAGTTCACTGGTCCACCAAACCACCTCCCCTGTGTGCCCTTATAGCCTAGTCATTCTTATTGTGCTCATTATAAATCGTTTACAGATGCATAATCTATTTAGATCGTCTATATGTAAGCATTTTGATAAGAGCAATCTAATTTGTAAGATTTATTGGAGCCGTCTTTTCTCACTCAACTGAGTAATTACGTTAGCATTGTCTTTTTGTCAATTGAAAATTAATAATCAGGAGGGGCATGGGTGTTGTTAAGGATTATTTGGCAGTGATTGGCACAAGCAAGGCAATATCAAGAATTTATATTTTAATATGGTTGTTAAATATTATTAACTTGTTGGAGGCTTTGTGATGATTTATGCAGTAACTTTGTCGGGATAGTTTTCCTGGAAATGTTTGAGTCGGCTGGTCTCTTATTTGCTTCTCTTGTTTTTGCGGTGCTTGGTGCAGATGTTACCACCATGGAGATTATTCTGCTGCTACTAGAGCTCTGGGATGCATCCATGGACTCCCTCACGCGGACAGTAGATACAGCCTCAATGTTATGATCAATGCATACTTCTTCCTCAGCATCGAGAATTCCAGTTTGCAATGCCAAACCTTCAATATTGCGGAAGACGTTTTTATTATCAGACTGGATTACATATGGAGAAGCATGGCTGTTAAAGCTGCACGAGCCCACCATTTCATCTGTACTAGTGGAATAATCTGATGTTATTTCCTTCAGATCATGAGCAGAAACCAAACTGCCACCACAATGATCCGAAGTCGACAATTTCATGGCCTCTTAAGTCTCTCACTGTCCAAATCAGAGGGTTCCTCCATCTTTGCTGTTTGAACGGATCCTGGAGGACTTATATTCTCTCCTGCTCAAACTAAACATCCAGAACACAGATAGTCCTCCCATATATGTCAGAGTAAAATATTGGGCACTAATAATGCAAATACGCAGCCTATACGACGTTAATGATGTCCTGCTAGTTGGCGATGATCCTTGGGAGTAAGAGAAAAATTTCTGCATTGGTTTTTCCTTTCCTTTCCTTTCCATTTCCTGCAAATGGAAACTGTGATTTTTTTATGTTTGGTTTATTTGTTTCGATAGTCACAAGCTCTTTGTAATTTTCTTTCAGGTTGTTCCCGATGATGCATCAAAATTGGCTTGTATCTCCAAAACTAACAGGCTACCGTAGTCATCACAGGACCACCTATAGTTTCAATGGGAAGAAGAGACTTGTGCTTTCAAAACATGCTGGCTAGGTGGGCTGAATTACTTTCTTGGCATTGCTTACCTTGTAGTTGGGGGGTAATGCTTGTTCTTTATAGTATGATTCATCATAGTGTATCTTGTGAAGCCCATGTAAGCTTTTCGATGTTGATTTGTAGTTCCCAGAGCATTCTATACTTGTACAGTGATGTTCTGGGTTTCTGCTGATCTTCTACCAAGTCTCACTCAATGTTATGTAGAGACTTAACCATATTAAATGACAGTTAATGCATTCCCTGGTATGAATTTGCATATATGGCTTGTGTTATGCAGGTAGTTAGTGTTCTTTGCATAGATTTCTTGCAGTCAGAGTATCAAGGCTTTTTATCTAATTATTGTTCAATAATGTTTGAGGATGTTTGTTGGTCATCTCCAAAACTCAAACTCACATTTTACTCTGTTGCTAGGGATGCAATACTTCTGTATGAAGCAACCTATCAAGGTTAGTCGTTATTACTTGGCATAAAGATCTAGCTTCTTATATCTTGTTGTTTGGAGAACTATATTTATCGTCATCCTTACATATTCTAGAAATGGTTCCCTTTATTTCACCACTTTGTTGTTTGTAAATGGTGGTGATAACTTGGAACTTTTATTCATGAAGCTAGAAAGAAAGCTGGTAACTCAACCAAGTTGCTATTTTGAGTAAAGGGAAGTAGCAGCTGCAACAACAGTAGCGGGAAGGAAACAGTAGCAGCAGGACAACAATAAAAGGCGGATGCTTGAATGTCAAACACGCATAGGAAATCACTGTTGTATTTTATATAGTTTAGTTGCTAATTGAGAGACAGCATGAATAGAGTGGTTGTTTATTGAATCAGTTAGCTTATGCTAGTTAACATTCTGGGTTTTCTAATTGCTGTGGAAAATCCAGTTTAAGCCTTATTATCTTCTCTATTTAATGTCATTTAATATTGTGATGAATGACAAAGAGGATGAGCTAGAGTTTGAGCTCTCATTGTTCTAAAATTGGAAGGCTTGTTGCGGGGCAAGTGTCCTACAGACTTCATTCCTGTGCAATTCAATGTCAGTGGGTACAAGTAACAATTCATTCATCTGCAATTCAATGTCAACAGAATGAGATCTAGCTGACCAAATATTCATTCTCATTATCAACGCTATAGGAGTTTACATTCCGATGGAAGAAACTAACTCAGTTGATCAACCAATTATGCAAAACATCAATGTCATACAGCCTTAGGTCCCCTAACCCAGCTGCCACTAGTCTATGCACAATCACTCTCCCAATACTACCACCATTTAGGGCTGGCCGTTCGGTTAGCGGTTACCGATTAACCGGCCGGTTAAACCGATAACCGCCGGTTACCGGTTAACCGACTAACCGAAAATGGGGGCTTCGGGCGGTTGGCGGTAGTGGGTTTTACTGTGCCGGTTAACCGGCTAACCGGCAAATAAAAACGACGCCGCTCAAACAATCCACCCGACCCCTGTCTCCTAACCCCCTAACCCTAATCGAATGCAAGCTCCTTTGCAAACGGCCTCGCCCTCCTCAGCTCCTCTGCAATCGGTGGCATGCGACGAGAAAGAAGGTAATTGGTGGGGAAGGTCTGGTTGCTGGCCAGGTGGTGGACATCATTTCCGAAGGAAATTCCGAGGTGGGTTTGAAAGAGCTGGAGTTCATCCACGTACACAAGACGGCCAAGCTGCTCGAGGGCTCGGTGGTTCTGGGTGCGATCCTCGGCGGCGGGAGCGACGATGAAGTGGAGAGGCTGCGGCGGTACGCGAGGGACATCGGGCTGTTGTTTCAGGTGGTGGATGACATACTCGAAACATAAGACGGCTGTGAAGGACCTGGTGGAGGATAAGGTGACTTATCCGAAGCTGATGGTGATTGAGAAATCCAGGGAGTTCGCGGAGAAGTTGAATGAGGAAGCCCAAGAGCAGCTGACTGGGTTTGATCCGGTAAAGGCTGCGCCTTTGATTGCTTTGGCTAATTACATTGCTTATAGGCAGAATTGAGAATCCAGATTATGGTCTCTGTAATGTGGGATTTTGTTGTAGTAGAATTACCTATTGCGTTGATTTAGCAAGAGCAGAAGGGGGGGATTAGGAGGAATCTGTGCCACTGTGTAATATTATGGAAAGATGGGTTATTGTAAGCATGGAGATTGTTAACTTAGCTCATGGTTTGTAGCAGAGTTTAGAACAGGCGGAAATGACAGCCATGAATTAATGGTGAGATTATTAATGGATGTGGAATGTTGTAGTTTCAGTATGATGGGTTGGAGAGTTCTTTCTGAGTGAACTCGAAACTAATCTGGTTTGTCATGGAGCAAGACACCATGAGAGGGCAAGTGCTGAGCATGTCATGCGCCGCGGTTACTTTGGTTAACCGAGAAACTAACCGGTAACCGACCGGTCGGTTGCCGGCTAACCAAAGTTTTCCTTCGGGCGGTTGTCGGTAGCCATACCCCCTGTCTCGGTTAACCGATGACCGGCATTTCGGTTATCGGTTATAACCGAACTAACCGAAATGCCAGCCCTACCACCAATCCCTCATTGTTTCCTGAACCCACTGTTTAACTTCCTCCTCTCTCTCCACCAGCAAACAAGCTTGATCATCTTGACCTGCTAAAATAGATTTAGAGGCATCTCTAGATGACCATTGCAATGTCAACTTGTCAACTTTGAACAGGCCACAAGGCAAATTTCCTGCACAGAAAGATCACAATGAAGTAAAAAAAAAGCCTCTATAGATATGCAAGATCAACAATGCAGCACAAGTCATCCAAACTTTTGCAATCCTAACCAGTTATGCGACAGCTTGACATCATTCGAAACGAATGAAGCATCAATCATCCGGGCATTACAAAATTCGGTACTCAAGCAAAACACAATCTTCTTCAACTACTAGTTTCACATGGTACAGTCAATTCTTTTACCCAACATAATTTGAGAGGCCTCCAGTCACGATTAACCCTCGCTTCAAGACATATGACACCCGCACATTCAAAAAAAAAACTCTCAGAACCAGAAACCATAGCGAACCTACCATTATCAACATGTCCAGCAAGATCAACACCGAATAAATGCTGCATTCTCCTTCCAATCTTGGGCGAAACTACAAGGATCACAAAATCAAATTACCAAGTGGTATTGGTTACCAACCAACAACGGAAACACAAAACTCAAACTACAGTTCCAAGTCATTTGACACTTAGCAGCAAACATCAGGCTGGTTTAGTTCACAAGCAGACAAGCTAGAAATGCAAAATCAATCACTTCCCAAGAAGATTACTAACTGCTACAACAATTACACGCAACACCGAATGAAAGGAGAAGGGCAATTCTTTTTGGTTTGGCTTGGGTTTGGTATGGTAACAGTGAAGCAGTCCGTTGGAGGCAGAGAGCAGCCGGGACAATGTGAAGGTGAGATCAGGTAGATCATAACAACCCGGATTTAAAAAATATTAAACACAATGTGATTCACTAGAGGAAACTATCTTATTTATTCAAGGATATACTTCAAGAGATAATCATCTACAAAACAGGAATAAATGATATTTATGATTAATAATAGATAATTTAAGCATTTGAATTCATATCAAACTCTCTTGTTACTGTGGACTATAAACACACGTAACTCTTTTATGGCTGTGAGTTTTCGTGTAAGGGTGTAGGGGTTCTGGAGTCGCAGGTAATAGTTAGCTTCCTTCGTTTTTTTCTACCCTATTTCCACAGTTTGGTATTACAGATTAAGTTATGTGGGCATATGTTGGATGATTGGCAGCTATTGTTTGGCAGAATCGACGTGTCGGGTGGAGAGCTAAGGTATGTGTTCAATCTCAACAGCAATTTCTATATGAACTTACTAGTGTTATTTTCATGTGCAAATCCGTCTACTAAGCTAATCGAGAAACCCTGTTCCTATAATGCACTAGCACATAGACAAAATAGTGATTCCTTCATACACTGTAGACATTGGTTCAGCAATGAGAATCAAACACCAAAGCAGCCAATTGGGTATGAACTGAGAATCTCCCAACAAGCTTTAGTAATTGGTTCAGCAAACATACAGAATCAAACACCAGTAATGGTGATACAGTCGTATCTTAGAATTAAAACGAACAAAGAAGAACTAGTAAGAATACCTGTTTTTTTCGCTGAAATTGTTGAAATCCTCCAACACCCTGCTAATTGCTTCCAAGGCTACATTCTGTTCTTTTGCCACTCGCAGCATTATGATTTTGTAATTTCAGATCGTCAAACTCCGCATTATGGGAATTTTGTTGTGGTTAACCTCTGTCTCGAATAACCCTAGAATTCCTTATGAACATTTTTGGAGCGCCATCTGCCTGCGGAGATCTGTATAGCAACGACACCTCATCGATTGTCCTATCGACATTCTTCGGCAGTGATGCATGCTCGGCTTTCGAGTCGGCCAATTGAGTAGATTAGTATTGGCGAGTTCTTCTGAGAGAGTAAAATACAATCTTAGATTGGCCAGAGAAGAAGCTACTTTTGGGCGGCAGAAAAAATGGAGTAGAATAGATAAGCTTGCACTTGGTCTGAGTCGAAGAAGCGAGAAGAAAATCGAAGAAAGGAATCTTTTGATTTTGGACGAGGTCTCACCGTGACGATGGTGGAGGGATGAGCAGCGCCGGAAAGTAAACGGCAAATCTGTTGATTTTGCTTTCCATTAGTAACGGAAAGGAAACGGCAGCTTTTTTTTTTTTTTGGAAATCCAGCCCCAAATAACAGAGAACAACATTAACTATTTATATTTTGGGTTCAAATTATGTTATGACTAATGAATATAGTGTGTACCATGTCCACGGTAAAAAAAAAGTGATGCTAATTAAATAATTTATTAATTTAGAAATTCGACTATAGTACAATGCTCTAATTTTAATGGGTGAATCCTAAACTATAGTTATATAACCACGAAACCTAAATAAACTAAAAAATAATAATTAATTGATCCGATGAAGTAAAGTAGAGTTCATCCAATAATCATATTGTATACGTATGCTAGCTAGATGTGCACGGAAAAGCTAGTATAATATAATGAAATATTTTTTATTAAATGGATAGTATGTAAACTATTACGAATAATATATATCACAAGGTTTACATAATAAAGTACATAATCATTTTATTCTCCGTGGTTAATCATTACGAATAAGATATGTCATCTGTTTGTTTAAGTGATACATAATAAATTACTATTCATAAAAATATATAATTAATTATTTTAATGTGGTTTTAACCTTTTATTATGTGGTGTTTTTTTATGACAATTAGGAAGATGGAAAACACAATGGATCAAAGTGCTGATATTGCTGGTGTCTTGGAGTCTGTCCAAGCCATCAAAGAAATCATGGTGAGTTTTGACAGACGTATGAAATTGGTGGAACTACAACTGGATACTGTAAAGGACCTGCAAGAAGATTTGTTAGCATTTGCGAAAACACATAGAAGAAGTCTTGGTCTGGATGCAGAACATGTCATGTCTATGGAATCAGTTGGTAATGAGAGTCCGTCAGTGGAGGTAGGTTGACTTTTTTGTTTCGTTTTGATATATATGCGTTTACGTTTAGTAATCTGATATTTAGACAAATAATGGGTTCGTGGACACTATAAATTGATGTAGTATTATTTGACAGATTCAAGAGGAAGGTAGAGAATTTAATCTTAATGATGTGTACTCATCAGCTCGAGAGTTGCGTGCTGATGCGGAGCGCAAACCAAGCAAGTGGGTAAAATCTCCATATGCAAATGAAAAAAAGAGGAAAGTTTTTTTGGTTGGTCCGTTCAAAGTGGGTCGGCCTGCCTCAATTGAAGACCTTTCGCTGATCAAGTATCTGTTCGAAGCTGACATTAATGACTAGTTAAAATCTATACCTAACCCTATTTCTAATATCATTGTTGAATTCTGTGTTTTCACATACACTAACATTTGTTTGTTATAGTGATGTTGTGGTATCTAGTACCAACGTGTATATTATATGTGTTGACCTAAGGTCATTAGCTCCCACCCAAAAGATCGAGTTCGGGGTAAGTATTGCATCATGGTTTAGTTTAACAAAGTTTGATATATGTTGCTATGAATTAAGTACACGTTTCATATTTAAACTTTACGTTGTGTTTCGAAATTGTGTAAAAGGTCATTGATGGAGTTGTGGGAAAGCTTACTATCGAGGAGTTTAAAAAGGTTGTTCCTACAAACACATTCCTGCCTCGACGCCGAGATTTCCCAAGCGGCTTCGGAAGCGGATGATGGAGGCAAAAATTTGCGTTAAAATTATTGAGAGAAAATATATTGATTATTTCAGTGCACTCAATTTTTTGGGTATAGCAACTTCAAAAGTAATCATAAAACATCAAATTTTGAACGTTAACTAGTAGCATTAGTGTAATATGACAAAGGATCACAACTAAACAATCCATTACCCTAACTCCTAAACTTTCAATTTTCAAAACCAACTATAAACCCCAAATTGTGAACCCTAACCATAAATCCATAAACCCTAAATCCTTCAAATCAAAGTAAATCTTGAATGATTTTTTTGTAAATTCATGGAGTTTCCTATCCAGTATATCACAAGTGATGATTGACATCGTTAAAGTTCAAAATGCACCCAAAAAAGTGAGTGCACCGAAGACAAAACCATATGCCATACTCCAGGTGATCTGTCCATTAGATGTACTTTGGTGAGATCCGATCAATCTCAATGGTCAATTATTATTTTTCTTTTATTAAATTGAACTTTAGGTCTTGGTTTAGAGAATTGGGCCCTGGGTTTATCTATTAGAGTAAGGTATAGTATCATATCTCGAACTCAGTTTAATTCATCGTCTGGATAGAGATATCTCAATATAGTGCTTGGAGTATAGTATACTCCAGGAGTACACCACGTGTATAGGAAGTGTACTCATATGGATTTATGGTCATTCATGAACTATAAATGACATTAACGGATAGGATTATTAAAATTTTTTAGGTATAATAATAGTATAACGGGACAACGCGATAGTGTTTTTTTTTTTTTTTTTGCAATCATGGAGGCCGAGGCCAAGAAAAGAGGGGGAGGAGTTACAGAGCTGCCGGCGCCCTAACTTGGCTCTCCAAAGCAACACCCATTACATCATCTCTAAGGATCTGAGATAAACCTCTTGGCGGGTTAGAGAGTTCATGCATACTGTAGGGATAGACGAGACTGTGCTTCGAGAGCTAGTCCGCGACTCTATTCCCTTCCCGATATGTATGAACTACCCTAACCAGCCAACTCTGAGCCAGCTTCCTCCTGATAGCATCAAATAAAGAAGCATAAGGGTACACAGGATCTCGCCGGTGATTATTTCACTCAATAATTTTAACGCAAACATTCCCATGAATTTCTCCTGTCAGTTGATTCAGACGAAGGAGCATCAGTCGCCGGGAAATCAAGCGCGATTCCACTCGGTGCCACCTTCTCCTACATGTCAAGAACCAGTTGCTCCCAATAACTCGAGTTGTTGGGAGAGGTTCAATCGTGGATCTTATACCACTCTCTAACACGCCCCCTCAAACGAAAGCCAACCCATGGGCTTGAAGTTTGCACAGGCCCACCATACCATGTGCTTGAAAGACAACGGTTAATATTGGGGTCGTGGAGATTCGAACACATGACCTTTCGGTTCTAGGCTCTGATACCATGTCAAGAACCAGTTGCTCCCAATAACTCGAGTTGTTGGGAGAGGTTCAATCGTGGATCTTATACCACTCTCTAACACTACACACTCAATAATGTCTTGCCATTATGACCATGTAAGAGTAAACAAATAGCTTCCTACTACTACGTTGCAGATGCCTGAACATGACAACTCAATCAAAAGGTTTCCAGTATGATAAAATTTCAGGTAAGAATAGATAATCTGCTCCTTTAGCATAGTGATAAAGATTGGTAATGTTCGTCAGTTTTATGAACGAAAAGAAGCATCATATGAAGTCTAGTATATACAGGTTTAAAGAGTATTGTTTTATGTTTGTACAGGGGCCCTCACCTGTTCCTCGCTGATTAACTGCTGGAGCCGCTACTTGAGTACAGGGCCATGGCGGCCACCGCTCTTCGAATTGATGAAGACCACCATGGGGCATTGCGGCGCGTCCTCGGGGACTTTCAGCTCGGCGCTGTTGTGGTGGCGGTCGCAGGCCTCCGCCGCGTCTTTTGACCTAATCGCGTCGACCACCGCCCGCCGGAGGTACTCCGGCATGACGAGCTTCTTCCTCAGCACTTCCTTGTCGATTCGGACCCCCGACAGGCCGCACCCACGGAGCGAATCGATCACGGAGGACCTCGACGCAACGATCCTCGTCGTCGTCGACGAATCCACCGCCGCCGCCGTCGACGATTCCACCGCAGTCGTCGTAGTCGCCGTTGAACTCTCTAATGCAATTGGGGTAGCGGGGGTGGTTCTGGGGTGGCGGTGATGATAGACACACACGCGGATGGTGGCGGCCTGAGACGGACGTGGGAGTCGCATATTTGGGGATTTTGTTGGAGGGAATTAGAAATTAGAAATAGCAAAATTAAGGCGCCAGAATGTTGGAGCCAAAAGTTGGGTCTCACAATACAAATTTGAAACAAATTCTTAATGCCAAATTATAAATACCCCCAATTATGAAAAGGAAAATAAAAAAAGTTGGGTCTCACAATACAAATTTGAAACAAATTCTTAATGCCAAATTATAAATACCCCCAATTATGAAAAGGAAAATCAAAATTTCCAATCAAATTATTAATCTATCCATAATAAAAACAAAACCAGATTTGTTGATCTCAAAGTGTTCAAAATAAGCCAACACAGAATCCATCATTGTAAACCGAAATCAACTCATCGAAGACAAAAGAGATTAATGGAAAGGCAACATAAGAGGAGTACTAATTAGCAACACTTCACTTTTTTCCTTTGCGTCCTTTCGAAGCTTTTGGTTTGCCCTTGGTTTGTGCAACCTTTTTAGTCGCGTCATATTTTTTTGCCTCTTCCTCGATCTCGTCCTTCTTCTTGTTGAACTCCCACTTCACCAATTCAAGTGCTAAATTCAGTCGTTCTTCTTCACTGTGGAACTATAAGTTCAAATAGTCAATTAGATTGCACCACAAAGTTCTCTAACGATGATGTACTGACGGGTTTCTTAAATGATAGCTACCTCTTTTCTCATATCTCTTGCCGCCTTGTCTAGCGATGTAGTACCTTTCATCAACTTCACAACAAACATACCAGAATCATCGCTGTCCAATGAAAAATGGCAATATAGATTGTATTTATTATCACTATCGTTGTAGCGTGAAACCGAATGATTATATGAAGCACACGATGGTAACTCACTCATTGGATTGTTGAGGGGCCTCCGCTACAAACTGGATGGGAAAGCGTTTAAATGGGTGATCATCATCAAGAATACCACTAAAGTCCTTACCAAATAGAACGTCCAACATTGTTACCTGTAATTTTAAAAAAAATGTGTTTTAAAAGATTTAGGTTGGTATTTCTGCGAAGACTAAGTAATAAGCGATGTGAACGAGTAGCGACCACTCACAATTTCTTTTGCTTTAGCCTCCAGATCGGGGGCATTTGTATGTGTTTGGTATGAATCCCAAATTGCTACTTCACGATATTTTATATCAACGACCATAAGGGCAAAGTGAAGGGCCAAGTAGATTGGTACGAAAATCTGAGAAGAACAAAAAGTAAAAGTAAGGTAAAATGACTATTTTGCACATGGTTTGAAGGGACTTTCATAAAACAAAAATCAACATTCAAATGCGACCATACCCGCTCAGAGTCTCCGATCCTTGAACAATATTCTGATACCAGCTTTTGAGAAGTCATATACTTGAAAAACTCCGTCTGGGTGTCTCCAGACTTCAACTACAACAAATAAGCACATTAATACATAGAGTATTATGAAATCAATAGATGTATACGAATGGGCTTGTGGATTACCCCAACTATAGTCGGCAGGAATGTGTTTGTAGGAACATGGGTTGGCTTTCGTTTGAGGGGGCGTGTTAGAGAGTGGTATAAGATCCACGATTGAACCTCTCCCAACAACTCGAGTTATTGGGAGCAACTGGTTCTTGACATGTAGGAGAAGGTGGCACCGAGTGGAATCGCGCTTGATTTCCCGGCGACTGATGCTCCTTCGTCTGCCTCGACGCCGAGATTTCCCAAGCGGCTTCGGAAGCGGATGATGGAGGCAAAAACTTCGCCTGTCAGTAGTGTGCAGGAGATCGAAGCTAAGCTTCGCGACGCTGAACTCCGGAGGCAGGTTAGTTTGTTTTCCGACTGAGGCTCACTTTCTGCTGTCTGTTTATCAACTCTCTTCAATTGGAAAGAGCAAAACCTTTAGGGATTCTTGGGGGTTTTGTTCTTTCCTTTTTTTTTTCATTTCGTCAGAGAGTTTAAGCAATTCGTAGTGAATTCTGGTTCTTTTGGGGTTTCCCTGGCTGCTGAGTCTATTGATCATCCAACGCTAAAGAAATGATCTTGTTTTGATTCTGATACTGGTTCACCATAGCTGAAATTTGGACTACAAATTCCGATCGATTTTGTGTTATTTCCCACTTTCTATTTCTTATTATCCCCTTTCCCGGTGGTGGGATTTTTCATCTCTTCGTGCGTAAGGTTCATATCTCTTGTGTTAGATTCACTTCTCCTCAGAGAAGATCTACACCCAGGTCCTCAATGAGGAGCAGAGAAGCAAAGAGTGCAGGTGCTACAAGGGAATTGACTAGAAGTCCAGCTAAGTTATCCAGGTATTCAGTGAGAGTAGTTCTTTGTGCTTACATGCATCTGGGCCATCCAGATGCTGTTCTCAGCAGTCAAGGAGAGAGGGAAACTGCCTTGGCCAAGTCTGCAAAGGATTTTATCCACGAGTTTGAGCTGTTAATAAGGATCATTCTGGAGGGACCACTTCAGAGCTCTGATGATGAGTCGGACTCCATTTCATCAAAGCGCTGTACCTTCAGGTCCCAACTTGCGGTGTTCGACAAAGCGTGTTGTGCATTCTTGAATTGCTTTGTGGTGTGGAAGGTTAAGGATGTCGTGTCATTGGAGGAGGACTTAGTGAGAGCAGCTTGTCAGCTTGAGCTATCTATGATTCAAAAATGCAAGATGTCTCCTGGCGGGGAAAATAAGGATCTTCTTTCTCATGATATGAAGGCTATTCAGAAACAGGTTTTGCTTCTTAGTCATGCCCATCTCAGGCTTCTTAACAGCTATTTTTCATGGCTAGTGCTAGTGTTATTATTATTATTATTATTTTTTATCTTTTCCACTGCACAATGCTTGTTGTTTGGAGTTTGTGTTTGACAATGGTGTTATACTTCTCATCTCATTTTCTTGTAGGTAACAGACGACCAGAAATTGCTAAGAGGTAAAGTACGACATCTTAGTGGGGATGCTGGGATTGAGAGAATGCAATCGACTTTGGACAAGATGCGCTCGAAGTATAAGGAAAATGGCACACCAATTGGTTCACCAATAATCAGTGTGTCATCTCCTGGCATGCCCAGTTTCGTTGCAGGTGCTGCTACTCCTGCATCTACAAGTGATGTCAGGGCTGAGACACCAAGTCGAGTGGTCCGTTCTTTGTTCAAGGATGAAAGTATTGACCCATTTAAACAAGCAAGTTCCTCGGCTGCTGCTATCCCACCCAAGTCAGCAATTTCCTCTGCAGCAGGCATAAGCTCATCTGTCGGTCAAGTGGGGGGTTCTGTTAATAAGATGATAACAGAGAATGAAGTTATTGTGAATGAGCTTCTTCATGAAAAGGGTAGGGGTCTGGTTGGCAGATTAGAAACTGCCCAAAAAGTTGAAGAGAACCTCCAGGTTATCAAATTCACTTATATATTAAGATCTTTTTGAGTGACTTGAGAGTCAAGACTGCCATATGGGTTTAGAGTTTAGACTTCTAACCTTATGTTTTTTTTTTAATTTCATGCAGGCAAAGATTAAAGAGGCAATGGAAAAGGCTTTCTGGGATGGAGTGATGAACTCCGTAAAAGAAGAGGGACTCGACTATGACAGGGTTATTAACCTTGTGAAGGAAGTGAGGGATGAAATCATTGAGATGGCTCCTGAGAGCTGGATACAAACCATCATGGAAGCTATTGATCTAGACGTTCTTACTCAGGTATATAGCCTACCTTGATGACTTTGCTTCATTTGGACGTGTTGCTGGTTTATAGTTCTTAAGCGTGTCCTTTCCATGTGTGTGCTTTCTCTATCTTTATCAGGTGTTGACGTCGGGAAACTTAGACATTGAGTATCTTGGGAAGATTCTAGAGTTTGCACTGGCTACATTGCTAAAGCTCTCTTCCCCTGCCCATGAAGATGCAATGAAAGTCAAATATCAGAATTTACTCCAAGAATTAACTGAGGCATGTCAAAATAGAGATGATAATGCAAAGAGTTCTCCTGCGGTGGCAATGATTATAGGTCTCCGCTTTGTGCTAGAGCAGATACAGGTTTGTTCCTTAATATTTTTCTTCCTTCTAAATATCCTTTGATCATTGAGCAAGGAAATTTGCTGGAACATGGTTAAGAAGACATAAAAGGAACTACCCTCAATTCAGTTTGCTGGTTACAGTGAGATATGCAGTTTATTACTTTGAGGCATACAGGCAGAGGTCTTTACTGGTATCGTTTGGGTTGCAGTGAATTTCTGTTATGTTGAGTCCTTACTCCAGTTTATCTCCTGTTTTTTCCAGACGCTTAAAAGTGAGATCAGCAAAGCACGTATAAAACTGATGGAGCCATTGTTGAAAGGCTCTGCTGGGTTGGAATATATTAGGAAAGCTTTTGCTAATCGGCATGGCTCCCCGTTGGATGCTTGTTCGTCTCTACCACTGACAAAGCAGTGACCAGGAATGGGAAGAACATAATAATTCCCTCTCGGCTTTGGCCATCCATGAGAATCCTTCGCAGGCGTTTCTGCCTTCTACTGCACTTCGAACCGGTGGGAGCTTTCAGGTGAAACAAAGTGTTGCGCCAGATGCTGGCTCCAGCAATGAACAATCAGCGCTGGTCCCTGAATGTTCTGGTGATCGGATTGATCTCTTGGTTAGGCTTGGATTGCTGAAAATGGTCACTGAGGTCTCCGGTATAACGCCTGAAACTCTTCCAGAGACATTCGCTCTCAACCTGTCCAGATTGAGAGGCGTCCAGGCTGAAGTGCAGAAACTTATAGTGGTCACTACCAGGTAAAGTGTTGTCTGCTTAGTAGTATTCTCATGATATCTTCTTTCTGAACTGATCCTCTCATAATGTCAACTGCAGTGTCTTAGTTTGCCGGCAGACTCTCTTGATGGAAAGAGGTGCAGCCAGCAGTGGTGACATAGAAAACACAGTATCAAACTGTAGCAAGCAACTATTGCAACTCTTGGACCATGGTGGCGACGATGCTGGGATCGATGAAATCGTCGGCATACTCAGCAGCTTCTTCTCCCAAGATTCATCTCCGTCGGGTTATGAAAATGAAAACACTCACCAGCTTCAGTCGAGGAAGGAAGTTATGGGTAGGATGTTAGGAAGGAGCTTTCAGGCAGGGGGCCCAGTTTTTACAAAGGTCTCCCGAGCTATTTACTCCGCGGCCAGGGGTGTCGTTCTGGCGGGAAGCGGATTCAAAGAAAGGAAACTGGTCGAAAAGGCTCTCAGGCCGGTTGGTGCCACCGTCCTCGCTGACAGGGTAGTGGAGGCTGCCCAAGTGCTGGTTACGGCGGCTGGAGTCTCTGTAGCAGTCCATGGACCATGGTATGCAACACTAGTGAACACCTTGTAGATAGACATGATTTGTTTTGTTTGCTTGACTTGGAAGAAAGTTGGGTTGCCAAATAAGAAAGAAGAAGAAGGATATGTACAGAGCGCTGTGTAAATAAAACTAGCAATGTGTTTTACGCCGGCGACGAGGCTGCTGTGATTTGGTTGTTTGTGTGTATAAATTGAAGTGAAGAATTATGTACATAGTGTTTGATAATAAGATCAGTGAATAATGAACACAAATCTGTGGAAATGAACCTTGAACAAAGCTTGTCATTCAATAAACTAAACTCATTCCATCTAATGTTGAGGTATTCATTCTCATGATCGAGTGTGTAGGAGTTTACATTCCGAGGCAAGAACCTAGCTTACTTCAACAACCAACTACTGAAAACATTAATGTAACAGTCTTCCGATGCTGCCTCCAATCCCAAGTCTTTCCTTCACCTACTGTTTAACTTCCTCCAGACTCGCCTCCATAAAACAAGCTCCAACATCTTGACCTGCAAAATGAGATTATATCATATGCGATAAGAAAACAACTACAAAAATCAAATGATAACGGCAACGATGACTAGACCCAAGTGCTCCTCCCATAAAGCTAGTCTAAAGTTAAGAAACTTAACACACTAGGAAAACACCACAAAATCAGCCATGAGTAAATTGCTTGACCAATTTTGTGAGCAAGCAACCATACTTCCTTGTGAGCCGGCATACTACATTGTATCATGCTAAGATCGTAGCCCTTCAGTATCTCAAAATCACTTGGTTGCCTGTTCTATATATGTTTGTTCAGTAGCTCCAAGTGCTAAACTAAAAATGCAGCTGCTATACCTTCCTTTACCTTACAACAACAGGAATCCACCTATTCCATTAACCCATCTGCCACTAGTCAATGCAGAATCAATTTCCTAATGATCCCACAAATCTCGCATTGTTTCTTTCACCAAGCTTGGTAATCTTGACCTGTATAAAGAGATTATATCGGGTGTTTTACGCTATATACTGACAAAAGTTTCAATCAAGATCTCCAACCACATACATATACAGAGATAAGTTTTTCACTGCTTTACAATAAAATCTAAGAACATACCTATTGATCACTAACTTGATGATAATATGAAGTCTAATATTCTCAGCTTGTAGACGCATGAGCTCCTGCACATTAACAAAAAATCGGGTGATTTACTTCATAAGTAGAAACAGTCTAGTCGTAACAAAATGAAACTAAATAGATATAGTTCCATACCTGTATCTCCATGATCTTTTTGTGGACATGTGCGAACATCATGTCCTTCATTAGTGCAATGACTACAACGTCTTTTGGTTGGCTGGGTTGATGATTCACTCTTACGTCCTTTTGTTTTCACAACATGGGGATCTTTAATCCTAATACTTGGTGTTCTTTCTGCTGTTTTCTCCATGGGTTCCAATCCGCCATTCTTTCGCCAAATTTCCTCGGCCAACACACTCAACCTTTCGATTTCCTGCTTCACCAGCTTGTATCCTTCCTCCGTTTTTTATGCATACCGACACAGCTTGCCAAAGCTTCCATTTAGATTACCAGATCTCACCATAGCATGTAACTCTTCATTTTGCAGCTCTGGGTGGACTGATTGCACATGACACTCTTTCTTAGCATCCTTGGACCATCGTTTGACCACCAAAGAAGATGGAACAACTGACATGTTATTAACTTTCATCACAAAAAAACAATGACTGCATGGAATGCCTTTGCTCTCGAGAAGCTGACAAGAACACTTGATTCTCCTATTTGCTGGGTAGTAAACCACAATCCAAGAAGCATTAATGTTCGAATATTTGCTCACCTCATAAATGTGCTTCTCCCCATTCACCCTAGTCGACACACAATATAGCAATGGCTCCTCCTTAATCCTCTTCCGCACTTTAAAGAACAGTTTGCGAGTATAAATTCTACCAAAATGTTCCTCAATACTCCGAAGATGTGTATCACACACAGGGAAGGTATCAACACTCACAAAATCCTCCTTTGCCTCCTTGTTTCTCAACCTTCGTAGACCTCTATCGACTTGTACGAATAACTCATACAGTTTCAATTTCCTATCCAAAAAACGATTCAAATAAGAGTTCATCCCTTCAACGCGTTGTGAACTCTTCATTCCAGCAGTGAAAGTGCCAGAGAAAAATGCTTGAGCCCATTTATGTCGCTTCTCATACAATTCAGACAACCATTCATTGCTGCCTAACTGGAACTCTTCCATGCCTTTCCTCCATATCCTCAAATTCATCAACCGAGTCAATCCGTTTTAACAATCTGTCAAATACTTTCAGAAACTCCTTTGGACTAACATTCGATTCTGCATTCCTTCTCAAGTGCCAGCAACAAATCCTATGAGCAGCACCAGGGATCAACTCCTTAATGGCCCTCTTCATTGACATACACCCATCAGTAATCACAACACTTGGGTGCTTACCTTTCATACACAGGAGAAAAGTTTTAATTACCCAATTGTAGCTCTCTACAGTTTCGTTGGGTAACAAAGCACACCCAAACACTGTAGTTAAGTGATGGTGATTCACCCCCAACAAATACAACAAGAGGCATCTTGTATGCGTTTGTCTTATAAGTTGAATAAAAAACTAACACATCACCAAAGCAAGAGTAATCAAACCGGCAGGTGGAGTCGGCCCAAAACAAATGTTTTAGTCTGTTATCCTCATCGAGTGTGAACTTGCAGAAGACTTCTGAATCAATTTCATACTTAGCACGTAAGTATGCTAATGCAGACTCTGCATCACTATGCACTTCAAAATTCTTACCTCCATCCACGAAATTGTACAAATCCTTGAGAGTAAAACCGACGTTGTCATAGCCACCTACTTCATTTACCCTCAAATCCATTATCTGACTCGGTTTCACACCCACCCCTCGCAGTGACTCTACTTGTGCCTTATCACCCTCCTTCAGTGACCGATGAGACCTTAAGAACTGCACTTGTTCAGGTCCAACTCTATCATGATTATGCTCGGAAACAAACTCCTCTACCTTGTACTTCCCATCTTTTTTATCAAATTTCACCTTGAACGAAGCAAGACATCCGAATCTAGTCACCGCCTTTGCTTCCCTCTTCCTATTTTCTCTATTCACATTTTCTTCAGTTCTGACTCCTTCTTTACAACAAACCCATTTCCGTGATGTCCATTTCCCATATTTGTTAACCTTCCTGTCCCTTTTTCCAGACACCAAACCCCATATACTTGCTGTAATTGTTGTAAAAGTTATCAGCTTCATCAACAGAATCAAATGTTACCTCCTTCAAATCATGAAACCCCCAATCCTCTATGTTTCCAGGAACATTAACGTTCAAGAGCGACATCCCCGTATTTTCACGGGAATGACCAGTACTTTGACTTTGGGCAGCTGTATCCGCATTCTCAGTAAGTATGTCATTCTGAATATCATCTCCATGAGCTAAAGAGAGTTCTTCTGATCCTGCGTACCAAATTTACTTATAACTTCACTTTAAAACAATAATGTAATCCTGATATATTGTGTAGAGATGCACACCTTCCATTCAGGTTGCACTGTGTTCACTTTATCGCCTAGCCTCTCTATTTCAAACAAACCTTCAAGGATAAACACTGCCCTTACCACCTGTCAAAGATTACAAAAACATCATATGAACCGTCATTACCAAGCTTACAAATTGATAGGCTACTTCATAGAAAAGTATTGCATCCCTAGCAGCACAATACAATTGATTTGAGTTTTGGATATGACCAGCAAACATCCTCAAACATGATTGAACAACCATTAGATAAAAAAGCCTAGATACTCCGACTGCAAGAATGACTCCATGTTTCTGCCTCTCAGGGAACTAACATGCATTACCTACCCAGGAACAACACTACTGACCGCTCCGGATTCATTCAACTTCTCCAATCACTACTACTCTTCTATACTACTTGGAAGTGAAAATCACATCTAGACGTCCCTTAGTTTCTTTCCAGCAGGGTTTGATGGAAGGTTATCATGACTAAAAAACGTGAAGATTCTTAGCAATGAAAGCAATTATGAGATTTTGTCACTAACATCAAGCATATTACCATCTCTAGTTGTCCTCTCGTCTCTCAAACTCATGGACTTCAGCAAACTATTGGGATCAACTTAACTAGTAGGTTAATGCGGAATCACTTGTCTCCTTCAGTTCAAAGGTTTAATGGACTTCAGCAAAATCTATGAATCATCATAAACATCTCGTTGGTAAGTAGTTTATCCTGGTTAAATGGTCTACATAAGCCTGAAACTGAACATGTTTCACTAATCACAACCATATCCGTCATTTAGTCAAAACACACTCACCCATTTAACAACTGTTTACCACTAAACTCAGGTGAGGATTTCCAGCAAAAACATATATACAAAACATTAACAATGACAAACACAGTGAGACTTCATTACCGAAGATGGAGTTCAGTAAAGTGCTTACCGTGGAATGTGGTTGGATCAGTCAAGGTCCTTGGTGTATCCAACTCGGCTGTGTATGCTTAATGTCCCACCGAGTCACCAACGACACCAACCCAACCGAGATATTTCCTCCCTAGCTACGGCGCGATTCGATGCCTGTCTCCCACAAAGTAAAGTATCTCCCTCCCTCTTCCTCTACGGCAAGCAAAGAAGACCAGAAATCAGTTGCGAAATTAAAACCCCAATTATAGGGATCCTAGTGTTGGAGGAATGAACGGTGGCTTGTGAAAATTCAATCATCCATCATAATTCTCTTATTTCCCCTGCTCCTTCTGTGAATCTATGCTCTACTGCTCTATCATCTGGCCGCCCGTCCTCCCGCAACATCCACCTGCCCATTTCCGTAACAACCACTGCAACTAATTATCAAAAATCTAATTCCACAATCACTCAATAACTATAATCAAGTGAAATAAAATATTGACGAGAATAAACAAATTCCACAATCACTCAACAACCACTGGCCGCTTCGTCCCCTACCATGCGTGGCCTTCCCCTGCTTTTTACGGCGGCGACGCCGGTAGAAAATCCTTCGTCGGCGAGGTAGAGGCGGGACAAGTCGCCGGACTGATTTTGGCCAGACTGCCGTAGGAGATCGAGGAATGGTGCTTTGGCTCGTTAGATCGTCTACCCGCTGTTCCCCTGTTTCTGATTCTTCCGAAAAATAAAACTAGTATCAGTTTTTTTTTAAAAATGACACAATGAACGTTGGACGGAGAAGTTTT